CAGCAGTCAAGTCCCAAGAGTGCCAAACTAGAGAGATTCAACTAGTACTCTGTTTTATTCTACGGAGGAAACCGTCCAGAAATTTAGTCCTGAGTCCTGTGCTTCAACTGGTATAATTCCATGGAAGCCACCAGAGCTCTCCTGCTTTATACCAGCTGAGTATCTAGTTCCAGATCTGTAACTATATACCATAGTTCAGTCATTTGAGGTCAGATTTGTAATGGTGTCATTCTGGGGATGCCCAACTTACACACACACAATTCCTGGTGCTCTCATGCAATCTGCAGTGCTCATGTAGGAGTCTGACATGCTTAGAATCGCATCTTTAAATCTTTGGCTCTTCCCCACAATGAGCACAGAGCTCTATCCAGAACTAAACTAGACTGCTACAGTTTTAGCTTAAAAAAATGTATAAAATATTTGGAGAATGCAATCATCGCCTCTGTTCCTAGTGCCACTCACACCATCTTGCTCTCTCACATGTCCTGGTGAGACCACAGAGAATTCTCAGAGGAAACATTGGAATCTATGCTTGCAGATGTCTTTCGGAAGTTGAATAATAATGCCCTGGAAGCCCATTGCCACTATAAGATTTTCTTAACTATGCTTCACTCTGCCCCACCTACCAGCCTCTGTATCATCATGGCCCTGGTGTACCTACAGTAGCATTAAAACTAAGGCAAAAGGGATACCTTCATAAAAACACACACTTTTTAAAAAATAAACATAATAATTAAATTGTAACACAAAATTGAAAATTATTATTAGCCATACCTAAGCTCCTCCAATACAACTGTATTGTCATATGGTCCAACTACTAGTTCTCCGAGTCTATCTTCTCCCGTTGGATGGAAAGTTATTTTGTAACCTTTCACTTCCCCAGGGGCTGGCTCCCAAGTTACTCTGAAGCTTGACATAGTGGAATCAGAAGTTTTCAGATTTCTGGGTGGTTTATATGGAGAGGCTGAAAGGTTCAAAGGAGAAAAAAGCCACAATTTAAATCACTTATGTATATGAAAAAAAAATATTTTAAAAAATAATACTGCAACATACTAGTGCAAAAATACTACTGTACAATTGCCATCGGTTATTAATTGCATGTCTATATTTCAATTTAAAAAAAAAATTAAAAGCACTTATTCCAGGCTTGCTTTGGTTTTGTTTCACATAATCTTTAGTACCCAAGCTATGAGATGCGAGGCCAGATGTTTCTCCTCAACCCAGAACCAAAAAATAAGAAAATTACCAGCCAGACATTAAAACAAGGCCAGCCAACTTCACCCACAAATATCATAAGCCCTTCTCACGCCTCTTCCTCCTTAGTGATAAAGAGACAAGACTTGTAACATGTCCCAGAGGTCAAAAGATTCAGGTTACTTCACACCAAGGAGGGAAATAAATTCCAAAACTGAGGCCCACAACCTCTCTGGGCAATTTATTGTAGTGCTTAACTACTTTGACAGTTATGAACTTTTTTCTATTGTCCAAATTAAACCTTCCTTGCTGCAATTTAAGCCCATTATTTTTTGTCCTGGCTTCACAGATTAAGGAGAAGAATTTTTCTCTCCCCTCCTTGTAACAACCTTTTGTATACTTAAAAATTATTATCATGTCCCCTCTCACTCTTCTCCTCTCCAGACTAAACAAACCCAGGTGGGGTTTTTTTCCAATATTTCCTCATAGGCCATGTTTTCTTTAATCAATTTGTTGGTCTCCTCTGGACTTTCTCCAATTTGTTCATGAGAATTTCCCAGTTCCAGTTATTTAAAAACCCAGACTTTTAAAACTACATCCTTAGGAGAAGGTCATTGTCTGCTAATTACTTGTTACCAAAGGTCAAGATCAAGGCCCAAGCTGTATAAAGAAATGACTGATTTGCTCAGCCTTCATTCTGAGATAGATGAACTTGTGGCCACAAGGAATATCCAGTTGTGGGATTTAAAGGACTGGCACCTACCAGCATCCTAGGTTGGAATTAGGGATGACCTCTAATAAGCTTTTTAGAACGTGTGTAGGTTCATGTATTGTTTTAATATGTTTTCTCTAAAATGCAAGAATAAATGTGCTTGCATAGAAGGAGCCATGTGATAAATTATAACTGCCAGCTATACACAGAAAGTAAAGCACAGGCACCCAGCTTTAGGCTGTGTGGCTTGCTGGGGATACCAGAGTTTCAGGCAGGCAGCTAGCAAATGGTGGGCATATCTCCTCACTCCTCACTCAGGGGATCGTGAATAACTTAGTCTCATCTAGTTACTTAGCCAAATGACTTCAATCTTTCCCAGCCACAGCCTCAACTAACTAGGTCAAATTCATGCCCCAGCCATTACCAAGCAGTGGGTAAGGTGCTCAACAGAACTGCCTTAATCAAGTATGTAACGGGGTAGCTGAAGAGCCTTGGACTAAATCAACCTGGATTATAGGATGTGCTCCATATGGGTATGTCTACACTACCCCGCTAGTTCGAACTAGCGGGGTAATGTATAATAGGGTTATACGGAATAGCCTGCATGTTTTATAAAGAACATATCCCAATCCAACCTCATTTCCTTGTTTGACAGGATTACTGGCCAAGTGAATAAAGAGGAAGAAGGAAATGTGATATATCTTGAGTTTGGTAAGATTTTTGCCACAGTCCTACATGACATTCTCATAGGGAAATGTGGTCTTGGTGAATGTCCATCAGGTGGACACACGTCTAGGTTGAAAGACCATACTCAAGATGGTTCACTGTCAAACTGGAAGGATGTATTTAGCCAGGTCCAACAGGAGTCAGTCCTGGGGCTGGTAGTATTGAATATTTTCATTAATGCCTTGGGGTATGTCTACACTACCCCGCTAGTTCGAACTAGCGGGGTAGTGTAGACATACCCTATGAGAGGAATCAGGTTATTCTAGTATAAAAGCATAGAGGGAACTTCAGGAATCTGTGGCAAGGGCAGTAGAGAGTGAGAAAAACTCTCCAGGCAGGGAGAGACCCTGGCCAAGCAGAGAAGGGATACAATGGCCCGTGGTAGAAAGGCCTGGGAGAAGGAGGAGGAGAAACCTTGGGTTGCATAGACTTATGAATGGACTTTGGGGATTTTGAGTTTTATTGATCATTTATTTTATATTAATAAACCCAGTCCCCAAGCAGGGACATTTTCTGACAAATATAAAGCTTAAAGTGAACAATCCAAAAGAGGAAATTGAGAAAGGCTGTGTGTAGCATGATCCTAGGTCATGTGGAGTTGGCTGGGAGGCAGCTGGCCCAGTTACAGAATAAAACAGATATGAAGCTGAGTGTCATCAGTATTTTGAAAGCACCTCAGTGCATGCGTCCTCCCAAAGGGTATGTCTACACTAGCCCCCTAGTTTGAACTAGGGAGGCTAATGAGGGTGACCGAAGTTGCTAATGAAGCGCGGGATTTAAATATCCCATGCTTGATTAGCATAATCCCGTCCGGTCGCCATTTTGGAAACTGACTAGCCCGAAGTAACTGCCTGCGTCTATACGCGGCAGAGAAGCGGGATTCCGAGATAAACCCCTTACTTCAAATTAACTGTTACTCCTCATGGAATGAGGTTTGACAATTAATTCAAACTAAGGGGTTTATCTCAGAATCCCGCTTCTCTGCCGCGTATAGACGCAGGCAGTTACTTCGGGCTAGTCAGTTTCCAAAATGGCGACCGGACGGGATTATGCTAATCAAGCATGGGATATTTAAATCCCGCGCTTCATTAGCAACTTCGGTCACCCTCATTAGCCTCCCTAGTTCGAAGTAGGGGACTAGTGTAAATGTACCCTAACTTTCTCAATAACCTCAGACACATGTAGAAGAAGCAGGGGGACAAGTCCAGAATCCCACGAGGCAGTTCTTGAAGCAAAAAAGTTATTACACAGACAGAATCATCTAAAAACTGAGAGGGAAGACCTGTTTACTTTCACCTGAGTTCAGAGCTAAGTCAGATAGATATTCAGTCACCAGGAAGAGATGCTGCAATACTTGTGCATTGTGCATTCTCTGTTTCTTATCCATTAACATTGGCCATAGAGATCTTAGGCAGCTGGGTATCTAAGAGTTATTGCATGACAACTTTCCTAATAACTGTAACCAAGGTAGACATTTGACATTTGACATATAGACTAGACATTTGACAACTGCTCGCCAGACAGTCAGTGTCAAGAGATTACTACAAGTACTCTAACACTGGCCAGAATTCCATGGGTAGCCTGTTAGTCACTTTCCCTCCTGTTTTAGGGACTGCAGATCACTGTGTAAATCATGGTCACTCACGAGGCCAAAGCCTCACAAAGGCTAAGCACACCCTGAAAGTGGCCTTCTCTAGCAATAGCGTGTGATGTGACCCCTATACCAACCTATCTTGAAGTGAAACTCAATCACACGCTAACCTTCCACAATCATCTGAAGAAGGCAACTGGCAAGACAAAGACAAGAGTCAACCTAATCCAGTAACTAGCAAGCACAAGCTGTAGACCATCAGCATCAGTGTTGAGGGCATCAGAGATGGCTCTTTTGTACCTCGTAGCAGAGCACTGTGCACCGGTATTAATTAGAAGTAGCCATACTTGACTTGTTGATGGCCAGTGCATCACTGGACAACAACTTGGCTGTCCATGGTGTTGCACATTGCTCTCTCATCCGTTTGCCATGATACTGTAACAGTTTGGGGATCCCAGAGGTTAATGGAAAAAACAACATTTTCCCATCAAACAACATCTCTCACCACTGCTTATAGTCACATGAGCCCTTTTTGACCCACACATTTAACCTTCAATAATGCAACTTCAGCCCTGACGAAGCTTGGAAAGCTGAAAGACGTTCACAAGAATCACAAATAAACACCTCACAAAATACTAACACAGAAGATTCAATCTCCCACAAAATTCATAAGCATCACAAATCAAGACACATGCAGATATTTGCTGCACAAATGGAAAATTAAAGACTCTCCACTGTGCAACTCCAGAACAGATCATGGAACACACAACAATTCAATGCCCGATTTGAAAACACTAAGGTGGCATTACAGCCATATACTCTGCTACTCCAGATGCAATTACATGGCTTAACCATCTAAATGTACATGTACAGTTGTTTCTCTATATTTTCATCAACCATATGTAGAAGAAGAGGACAATGCCAAGGAATGTAGATGCCAAGAGGCCTCCTCAAGAATATCTGAGAATAAAAGACAAATTGCAACGTCCAAATGAAACGCTGAGAAGTGGTTTGAGAAGGAACAATATTATCTCACAGAACTGTCCAGAAACACTTATTTTCCCTTCACCTCTGAGAGTCTGACACCAGAACAGTCTGCTGCTCTAACAATTTCAAATAGTAAGAGGCAACAATCAAGCCAGGCAACAATAAGACCATGACATAGGTAAAATTTTCAACTGTCCCAACTCCATGCTCATCCTGTCACAATTTTTTGTTAATTCCTGATCTTGGAGATTTGACATAACAGATTAGCTAACACTTGGCCTACTTTCTGTACGTTTGCTTTCTTAGAGGCAATCCCTTTAACCATAAGATTATTACTATTTAGTCTTATTTAATTAAATATAATACATACCTGTTGTTCCTTCTCCTTGCCTGTGTTTTCCTTCTCCTGATTTATACGTTGGAATAACAGTGATGTTGTATTTGGTTAGAGGCTGAAGTCGCTTTAATACTGTAGTTGTGGTAGTAGGTGGTACTTTTGCAATCATCTGCCTTCCTCCACTCACTGGTCGGTACACTATACGATAGTTCACAACTTTCCCAGGTGCAGGCTGCCATGTGACTCTCATTGAATTTTCCTTCTCCTCATCTACTCTCACCATCCTGGCACTCGGTGACACTTTTCAATGTAAAAATATGTTTACATTAATTACATGTTTACTTTGTCGAACAAAAATATGCATAAATATGTCTACAGATTAATTCTGTAATACAAATATCATCTGTGATTTGTTCTTCCATAATACAGCCTATCATTAAACAGGAGTTCATGTGCAATTCGAAGAGGCCACCATGAAAATTTTCTGATCCTAATGGACTAAATTAACAGGTATGCTTACATTACTATGCTTTCATGTAACAGGAATTCATTTAACAACAATCCAGCATAGCAGGGAGTTACATAAGAAAACATCATTTTCACAACTTATTGTTTAAATAATAAGCTCAGCACTTCCAAATGCTAAAAGGCCAATTCTGTCAGACATGACTTTTTTGTTTTTTTATACAGGTAAAACTCCCTATGAAGAAGTTCAGATAGTTCTGACAAGGTACTGACAAGCAATCAAACTAATGGGTGGTTAACTCCAAACAAATAGACCATCCCAATCTTTTCTGAGGCTATGTCTAGACTGCAGGCTTCTTTCAGAAGAACCCTTTTTTGGAAGAGATCTTCCGAAAAAACTTCTTTCGAAAGAGAACATCCACACACAAAAGCACATCGAAAAAGTGATCTGCTTTTTCAAAAGATAGCGTCCATACTGAATGGATGCTATCTCGCATTCAAGCTGTGATTACTATGGACAGAGTGGCCACTAGAGCACCTGTGCTTTTTCCTCTGTCCTCTTCTTCCGAAAGAACTCCCTCTTCCCTGTCCACACATGCCTTTTTCCAAAAGAGCTCTTTCAGAAAAAGGTTTCTTCCTCGTAGAAAGAGGATTACCAATGCTGGGAAAACCCCCCTGTTCTTTCGATTTACTTTCAGAAGAACATGATTGCAGAATGGAGGTAACTCAGGTTTTGTCAGAAAAATGGACATTTTTCTGATAAAATTCTGTAGTATAGACATACCCTGAGTCTCCTACCACCAATCTTAAGTCAGTAACAGTTCTGAAGTGTGTGGATGTCTTATAAAGCACTTCAGTTTCACTCTCCAGACTATAACACTCAGGCTTCTTAAGTCATGTTCCTGCCTTGTCGCAAACACTATCAATGGAAGGCAAGTCTGATACTGGCTGACAGTTGGGTATGTCACCCTAGGTTTTGGCCAAGCAGAGCCTTTTTGACACACCAGAGTCAGAGTCAGTTTTCATTTCCCTGAAATGTATGCCACAAAAAACTGAAATACCCTCTCTCCACATTTGGAATTGGTCACAGAATCATTGTACCATAGGCTTAGAAGGGACCACAAAGGTCATCTTGTCCTTCCATTCTGTTCACTTTCAAACAGTGTAACATTACAAAGATTAACACTATGCAGTGTTTGTCTCATAAAAAAATCTAGAACTGTGACTAAGATATGTATTCAACTTCAAACCCAATCACAGGGCAGGAAAATTAACTAATCCCAATGGAATGAACTCTGAATTTTCCTCTCTATCCTGGTCACTTTGCTCATCCTGTTTCTCCTCCAACAGCCTCATCTCTAACCCAGAAATCCCCAGGAACTATCACCAGATTCTGCCACACTCACGTCAAACTGTAGCTTACTCTCTAAGGGTACGTCTACACAGCAGCAATATTTTGGAATAACTGATGTTATTTTGAAAGAACATAGTCCACATCTACACAGCAAGCCATTATTTTGAAATAATGGCAAGTGGGAGGACTTCTTACTCTGACTCCTGTAACCCTCATTTTATGACCAGTAAGAGAAGTCAGAGGAAGAGTGTTCTTTCTTCGACTTCCTTCTGTGCAGACAGCGCCAAAAGCTGAGTTAAGCTATTTGGATTTCAGCAATTGAAGTATCTGAAGCTGCATCTCTTAACTCGACTTTTGCCCTGCTGTGTAGATGTGCCTAAGTTACTCTACTAATTTCAGTGGGAATCCTTGCAGAGTAGGTACAACTTAACATGAGTATAAGCATCTGAATCTGGTTCCATGAGATAAAAATGACTTATGATTATAAATAACTGTAGCTCAGAAAAAGAGGGGGCCATACTTAATTGAGTTGAGATGGACAAGGGTTCGGTTGGAGGAGGATTAATAAAATTTAAGGTTGTCTCTTGACAATGTAAATTGCATTAACAGGAATGTCAGAAGTTTGTGCAAGGGATAATAAGTGCCACAAAATCCTATGGTTAGAATTCAGGCTGCTCCATGGGGCAGTTAGGATGTTCTACACTTACGTTCAGTAGTAGCCTCTCCTTCTAGAGGCGCTCCATCTCCACTGCTATAGGAAGCAAAGACTGAAATCTTATATTTAGTCTCTGGCTCTAAATTTTCCAGCATGGTATTTATTGCATTCCCAGGAACTGTGTCCTCCCCAGTCTGACCATCATAAAGCGATCTCCATACTATTCTATAACGACGAACTGCTCCTGGTGCTGGTGTCCATGATAGTCTCATTGTAGTGTCAGTGATGTCTCTAATAACCAAATCACGAGGTGAGCCACGGTCTGAAAAAAAAAGTAGTAGTAAGAGGGGGGGACTCAGCCTAAGACATAGTCAGCAAGTCTTGCAGTGAAATAGGAACAGGAAAAAAATACAATACTTACAGAATATAATTAAAATATTCACAAGAACACCAGTTTCAAATGGAATACGTTCATTCTTTTATGAGGAATATTAACACTTATTCAACAAAAACACTTAAGATCATAGTTAACTTTAAGTATGTGGGCAATTCCAACTCTCCTCATCAAGACACTTGATCTAAGATATGTTGCTGAACAGGGATGGAATTACACACATGCTTAAAATTAAACCTATGCTTCAGTGCTTTCAGGTTGATTTTGTCTTCCACACTAGCAATTATGCCTAACAATCTAATTTCACCCCAAAAGCTCACGTAACTCATTTATAGGCAAATAACGAAATCTTGGGTAGTTTTTTCTTGATACCAAATCTGTGTAAAAAAAAAAAATCCTTTTAAATTGATTGAGTCCTTCACCTTTTCTTAACTTATTTGTTTTCCCTTATCCTTATATTTGACACTTCCTCTTATAAATCTGTATTTCCCAATGAGATTCCTCCTTAGGCATCTATTCTGCACTGATGTAAGGGCATTTATACATGAAGAGTTTATTGGAAAATAAATCATTTTCTAATTATTGATTAATTCAGACACTTAAAGAGTTTTTGTTTATTTGTTTTTCAGGAAACATTATGGGTCCAGCTACAGTCAACATAAGTAACACCTATGTGACTTGGACCCATGTTTCACTTAATGCTTCAGGTGGGATGATAAAGTTGCTGTATCATTCTAGTTGTTTGTTGTTTCTTTCGCATTTCCATAATTTCTTTATTACAGTAATATGTTAAAAACTGCACACAGGTTTTTCATAACATGTCTCTATTTTGAAAACAATGTCTTTGTTTTCAGCCATTCTCTCTTCCAATGCCTGAGACTTATAGATTTGGCTGCTATCATCGCTTCCAGCACGCATCTTCCTGAATGATGTGAGAATATTTCTGTCAACTGTCTTCACTGTATCTCTCTACAACTAATACATCATGTATTTACTACACATAGTGTTTTGATTGTATGCTGGAGACTCTGTCTTTTCTGTACTAAATTTTGACAACCTTCTGTTGTATTGCTCTTCATAGCTGGTTCTCCTCACACTCCTTGGAGTGCAGTAAACAGCGCCTTAGTCCATATAAGCAAGAAGGGTATAAGCTAGCGGCCTGATGCTCACCTTAATACATCAATTTCACTCCTGTATAACTCTGTTGACTTTAATTGAGCTCACTGGTTTAAAGCTGATAAAACTGCATGGCAGATTAGGTCTATGAAATTTCTGCATTCAGTGTGGTATCTGGGTTATTAATGTATGCTAAAATCTGCTACCGGAATGGCTAGAGCCCTAGTTTTGTTCTTCATTCAATGGCAAAGTTGTAGCTATAAACATAAATCCCTACACTTAAATTAAGTGCCTCCTTTGACTTGCACTCTATCTGCAATTCCTTATTGAACTCCCAGACCTTCCTGTGGTGAGGACTGCAGAGGCTCCCAACTGGCTGTGTAGCAACAAGTTCCCTCAAACCAATCCCTGTTCAAGGCTTAAGCAGTGAGGCCTTGAGCCAGCTGTCTGCACAATAGGCAAATACCCACTAATGTATTTGAGACTGGTCAGAGCCATGCTACCAGAATCAAACCTCTTCGAATGCTGGGTAAGTTACAACCCTAATCTAAACTCCACAGAGCAGGTTCCTCTTTGGCAATACTATCAAGTGAAGAATTTACAACAGCAAGCTGATTCCAATGCAGAACTATACTTGGTAGGGTTTTCAAATTGGTCCCAAGTTATACACCGTAGTTTAATCTTGATATTCATTTGTCTTTATTTAAATCCTGATCCTACACACACAACTCCTTTAGAATAGGTAGGACTACTTGTACAAAGGCTGACAGTTTGAATTATATAGTTGTAGCAATAAACAAATTAAATAAACATGGTCTCCCATTCATTATGAATCAATGAAAGAATAATTCAACTTTGGCTTATTGGACATTAACATCACAATTGCTGGGATTTTATTCAAATGTTCTATCTAGCTATATTTTCAATACAGAGAATATATATGCACAACCTTATTTTTCCAAACCCATCCCATTGCTAGTATGTCATCCAAACAAGGACCCCTTGGCTATCTCATCACCTTCTTCTAGAGAAAAGTTGGTTTTCCATCCTTACTTAAACACAAGTTCCTTTAATTCTTCTAGTCTGCCACTCTAAATACCATACACACACATATATTTGATTGCAAAAACATTTTAATATCCAGTTTTTTGTTGCAGTTGAATTATTTATTGTCATAAGGAAAAATAACTACACTACTGCATCTTTCAGTGTAACTTTACCCTGTTATGCTAAAAACAGCCAGATTCATCCAGATATACACTCCATGCAGACTCACTGATTTCAGAGAGTTGCATTAAATCAGGTCAGAATTTGAATCCCAAAGAGTAATTTTCCTGGAAGACTGAAAAAAAGTTGTGTCTTCAAAAGTAAATTATACCAATTTTCTGTCTACTCCAATGCTTCTGCTCCCAACTCTTGGCTTTTTCATTCAATAAAAAGTCTGATAGTAATCCAAATGGAAATATTATGGAAAATCCAACATGATAGAATATACAGATGTTTCACAATAAAAACCTTTTTCCATATTTTTAATGTTATATAAATATACAAGTCATTTTATATTGACTACTTCAAATCTAGTCTTTGCCGCAACATGATTTCAATACTAAACTATCTGCTACCACAGCACAAATCTCAGCAAATAATTCTGGGACAGAACAGCTAATGAAGTGTTGGAGATACTGCAAAAATCAATGTATTTTTAAACAATTATTAAATTATTACATGTGCCACTAAACAGCAGCGGAAAATAAGATTTTTGTAATTCATTTGAGTGCCCAGCTACTGACAAATGTTAGCTCTGGAAAGAAAAAAAAAATCATATGGAACTAAAGTACCATTTTTTGTTTAATAAAAATAAAGTTTGGGCTTCTTACCAAGCCACCAGAGCTAAACGGAAAAATTTGACTTCAAAAGCTGGAAACTGCTGACAAGACATCTTACCAACCATTGGAAATTTAGACTTTTTTATATGTTATACTGAAGCAGAGAACATTTATTTAAAATAACACACTAATTTGATTTGCACCTCATGTGTGAGGTATACATTTGCATGCAGATGTTATTTTTACAAGATGCTACCATGTGAATAACTATGAACTTTGAGGTGGGGGAGAGAAGCAGCCGTGTTTAGAATGTGGTGCAAAATCCAAAGTAATCCAGATTCCACTAAGCATTAACTAAACTGCTACCCCAGAAGCTTAGAAGAATACTTTAAGTTCAGTGACATTACCAGTATATTATAATGTCTAGTAGGTATACACTAATACCTATTAGCCAAGTTTAGTTTGTTTTAGAAGTATAAGTGTAACTCTCCTTACCTATTACAGGCTGAACCTCTCTAGTCCGGCATCTTTGAGACTTGACTGGTGCTGAACCAAAGAATTTGCTGAACCATAAGAGGTCAGTATTGTCTAGCAGCATTACCAACACTTCCACTGCTTACTGGGCTCTTAGAAGACATTTAGTGATAAATTAGAGCTAAATAACAGCACAGAACAATGAGAGCCAGGACTGGTGGGGGAGTAAACAAACTTCATGGGACCATGGGAAACTTGGCCACGCCCATGATACATTTGGACATTTGGATAACTAAAATCATGCCGCAACACAGACACTGCCAGACCAGACAGTACTGGACTAGAGAGGTTCTACTTGTATCTTTCTATTAGAGATTGCCAATGGTCCCCATCGCTAAAGTATCTGAGCAATAATTCTGATCTTCTGTTTAAATATTGAAGAATCTTAATTGCTACTGGCTCCAGCGAGAAGAATTCTCGTACATTTTAATATCTCAGCTGCGTCCAAGAACAGAATAGTGAGGGAAAGTAAAAGACGGGGCACATCCACTACAATAAGGAAGGGGAAGGGCATGGTGATAAAGCAGATGGTGGTTGTGCTGGTTGGTGGTGGTCTTTGGCTCAGGGCTAACTGAATCAGCATAATCATCTCTGTTTTCTCCAGTGTTTGCAATGGATGCCCCATGCATCACAGCTCTACTTTTTCATCCTGTCCCAGTATCATTCTCACATGATGAAGTGCTCTGGGTTTGAAAATTACCCAAAAGCTCCTGCCCTCAGTAATTGAGCTAAGTATGACACTGTTCATGAGTTCCAGAATTCACTGGTACAAGCCCAGCTGAAGCCACGCTGTGTCTAAAGACATCAAACCATTACAAAGGTAAGCATGGAAAGCAACCGTTTTGTGCAGGCCGGATCCAAAGCCCAGTGTAATACTGAAGATTCCCTTTGACTTCAACAGGCTTTGGTGGCTACCTTAGAACTAATCCTGATCCAGGCCCTGCTGATGGTCAAATTGGCCTCTGGAATAAGGTACAGGAACCACTTACGTTGGCTGGTAAGTGCATTATGCAGCTGAATACTTCAGGATGCACAGCACTCTGGCCACACCTGCTGTCATGTGCTATAAACTCTCTATGCCAGGGAAGCTGGAAGAAGGTAGAACACAGCTTTCTGTGGCAGCTCTCTGCTAGTGGAATATTCCTCTATGTAAGAGGGAGCCCTCACTTACCCTTTTCTGCTAGGTTTCTGGCTCTTCTGCACAGGAGGCTGAATCAAGAAGCCTTGGGTCTGTCTCAATGGAGTTATACCCGCATAAAACTGATATGAGATCCTAATCAATCCTGGAAAATCTACCTTATCTATCTATTCCAGCAATTAATTAGTTAACCAGAAACTGATTCATTAACTATTTGATATTATATCCAGAGGAAAACAGTTCAATTTTTCTTTTGTAGTTAATGACTTCCTCTGAGCAGATTTCTTTTTTTCTGCAAATGGTGTACTTCCCCA